AGACGTGTTGGGCTGATGAGTGTCTGCCTTGATGATGGAAGGCTTGTGGCTCAGGGATTCTCAGGGAAAGGAGATAATTCCGTGTTTTGATGTGTGTAAAATTGACTGTGTGAAAACTGGCGTTGTCGGGGCTGAGCGATAGCCCAGCGGGGAGGGCGTTGGCCCGGCACGTGGCCGACCCGGGTTCGATCCCCGGCATCCCATAGGGTCCACCGAGCACCGCCAGGAGTGATCCTTGAGTGCAGAGCCAGGAGTTAGTCCCCTCCAAGAAAGAAATGAGAGATCAGGGGCTGAGAGATAGCCCAGCGGGGAGGGCTTTTTACCCTGCACGCGGCGGCTGACTCGGGTTCGATCCCTGGCATCCCATAGGGTCCCCCGAGCACCGCCAGGAGTGATTCCTGAGCACAGAGCTGGGAGTCACTCTCCAGGCGTGACCTAATTCCTCCCCTGTCCCCAAAGAGTAGGGGACCCCACCAAGGGGGCCAGTGGGGGTCAGCCCCAGGGGGTTTGCTTTGGGGGGGTTCTCTCTCCTGCACCCGGGGACTGTTCCCTCCCATCCCATGGTGAGTATGAGGGGCCAGCCGTGGGGCGGTCTGACACTCTCAGCACTTGGACCCTTAAGGTTCCTGCCCTCAGGGTCACTCCCGGAGTCTCTGGGGGACTGGGTGGGCCTCCCACATGCATACAAAGACACAGGGGTCAGGGGCCAGCCCCAGAAGGACACCTGGTTGTGGGGGCCCGGCTGGGGGAGTTCTGTGGCCTGGGGGGTGTGGAGGGGCTGGGGTCTGAGGGGGGGGCGGCAGGTGGGACCCCACAGAGGTGGTTGGCGCCATCCCTTGGGGCTCCCTGTTTCCAGAGGGGAAAATAACCCCCACCCAGGGCCACTTCCTTGTCGGCCTGGAGTGAGCAGGCAGACAGTGCCCCCTGTGGGTTTGGGGGGCTGATGGGGGCAGTAGGGGCACGGACCCTCTCGGGTGGGCCAGTTGGGTGGGGGGTAGGGACCAGAGATGTGTGTGTGTGTGGGGTTTCCTCCCGTCTCCCGTGTCAGAGCCCCGCAGTGCCCCTGTAACCTGGTCTTGGGCACTGGGGGGAAGGTCGCAGGGGTCCCCGAGGGGATAGAGCCTCCTGGGGTTAGCGCTGCAGCCCCCCTGCCCGCATTTTGGGGCCCGCGCGGCGCCCCCTGCTGGCAGCCGGCTGGTGGTGCAGGACATTAACGTATTTTTCTGTCTCCCTCCCGCCCCGCCCTGTGTCCCCCTGCCGCCACCCACCCGTGCCCCATCTCGCTTGCTCCAACCCTGTCCCCTGCCCTGTCCCCCGTCCCCCATTCGCCCGTCTCCCATCCCCTGTCTCCTGTCCCCCCGTCCCCCTGTCCCGTCCCCTGTCCCCTGTCCCCCGCCCTGTCTCCCGTCCCCTGTCCCCTGTCCCCTGTCCCCTGACCCCCTGTCCCTGCCCTGTCTCATGTCCCGTGTCCCCTGTCCTATCTCCTGTCCCCGTCCCCTGTCCCCCCGTCCCCCTGTCCCCGCCCTGTCCCCCACCCTGTCACCTGTCCCCTGCCCCTCTGTCCCCGTCCCCCATCCCCTGTCCCTCGTCTCCTATCTTCTGTCCCCCTCCCTGTCCCCCGTCCCCGTGTCCTGTGTCCACCATCCCCCTGTCCCCCGTCCCGCTGTCCCCTGTCCCCGACCCCCTCCCCCTGTCCCCCGTCCCCTGTCCCTCGTCCCCTATCCTCTGTCCCCCACCCTGTCCCCTGTCCCCTGCCCTGTCTCCTGTCCCTCCGTCCCCTGACCCCTGTCCCCTGTCCCCCACCCTGTCCCCTGTCCCCTGTCTCCCTGTCCCCCTGTCCCCGACCCCCCTGTCCCCGCCCTGTCCCCTGTCCCGTATCCCCTGTCCTATCTCCTGTCCCCTGTCCCTCGTCCCCTGTCCCCTGTCCCTCGTCCCCTATCCTCTGTCCCCCACCCTGTCCCCTGTCCCCCATCCCCTGCCCCCTGTCCCCTGTCCCTCGTCCCCTATCCTCTGTCCCCCACCCTGTCCCCTGTCGCTCTGTCTTCCTGTCCCCCGTCCCCCTGTCCCCTGTCCCCTCGTCCCCTATCCTCTGTCCCCCTCCATGTCCCCTGTCCCTCCGTCCCCCTGTCCCCGCCTCTCTCCGCAGAGCGATGCCCCCGCGCTGGGCCCCGACATGCCCGGACTGCGCCCCTGCCCCGGCCGCGGGCAGCCCTGAGCGGGGGGGTCGCGAGCCCCCGGCACGCGCTGGCGCCGCCGTCGGACGCGGCCTGGCGGGCCCCGGGCCGCAGCGCGCTGGCCCCGCTGGACCCGCCGGAGCCGGACCCGGGCGCCGAGGCCGAGGGCGCCGTCAGCCCCGACGTGATGCGGCGCCGGCGCGGGGGCCTCGTGGAGCAGCGCGACGTGGTCCGCGCGCACCAGGCGCACAAGCTGCAGAGCACCCCCGCAGGCGCGCCGGCGCGAGTGGGAGTGAGTAGGGGGGCGGCCGCGACCACCGACCCCGACCCCCGGACCCCCGGACCCCGGGCGGACCCCCGACAACCCACCCCGGGCGGACCCCCCGACCCCCGGGCAGACCCCGCAGGCGCGCCGGCGCGAGTGGGAGTGAGTAGGGGGCGGCCGCGACCCCCGACCCCGACCCCCGGACCCCCGGACCCCGGGCGGACCCCCCGACAACCCACCCCGGGCGGACCCCCGACCCCGGCCAGACCCCCGACCACCCGGCCAGACCCCGCAGGCGCGCCGGCCGCGAGTGGGAGTGAGTAGGGGGCGGCCGCGACCCCGACCCCCGACCCCCGGACCCCCCGGACCCCGGGCGGACCCCCGACAACCCACCCCGGGCGGAGACCCCCGACCCCCGGCCAGACCCCGCAGGGCGCGCCGGCGCGAGTGGGAGTGAGTAGGGGGGCGGCCGCGACCCCGACCCCGACCCCCGGACCCCCCGGACCCCGGGCGGACCCCCCGACAACCCACCCCGGGCGGACCCCCGACCCCCGCCAGACCCCGCAGGCGCGCCGGCGCGAGTGGGAGTGAGTAGGGGGCGGCCGCGACCCCCGACCCCCGACCCCCGGACCCCCGGACCCCGGGCGGACCCCCCGACAACCCACCCCGGGCGGACCCCCGACCCCGGACAGACCCCGCAGGCGCGCCGGCGCGAGTGGGAGTGAGTAGGGGGGCGGCCGCGACCCCGACCCCCGACCCCCGGACCCCCCGGACCCCGGGCGGACCCCCGACAACCCACCCCGGGCGGACCCCCCGACCCCCGCCAGACCCCGCAGGCGCGCCGGCGCGAGTGGGAGTGAGTAGGGGGCGGCCGCGACCCCGACCCCGACCCCCGGACCCCCGGACCCCGGGCGGACCCCCGACAACCGACCCCGGGCGGACCCCCGACCCCGGACAGACCCCGCAGGCGCGCCGGCGCGAGTGGGAGCGAGTAGGGGGCGGCCGCGACCCCCGACCCCGACCCCCGGACCCCCGGACCCCCGGGCGGACCCCCGACAACCCACCCCGGGCGGACCCCCCGACCCCGGACAGACCCCCGACCCCGGGCAGACCCCGCAGGCGCGCCGGCGCGAGTGGGAGTGAGTAGGGGGCGGCCGCGACCCCGACCCCGACCCCCGGACCCCCGGACCCCGGGCGGACCCCCGACAACCCACCCCGGGCGGACCCCCGACCCCGGACAGACCCCCGACCCCGGGCAGACCCCGCAGGCGCGCCGGCGCGAGTGGGAGTGAGTAGGGGGCGGCCGCGACCCCGACCCCGACCCCCGGACCCCCGGACCCCGGGCGGACCCCCGACAACCCACCCCGGGCGGACCCCCGACCCCGGACAGACCCCCGACCCCGGGCAGACCCCGCAGGCGCGCCGGCGCGAGTGGGAGTGAGTAGGGGGGCGGCCGCGACCCCGACCCCGACCCCCGGACCCCCGGACCCCGGGCGGACCCCCGACAACCCACCCCGGGCGGACCCCCGACCCCGGCCAGACCCCGCAGGCGCGCCGGCGCGAGTGGGAGTGAGTAGGGGGCGGCCGCGACCCCCGACCCCGACCCCCCCGGACCCCGGACCCCGGGCGGACCCTCGACAACCCACCCCGGGCAGACCCCCGACCCAGGACAGACCCCCGACCCCGGGTAGACCCCGCAGGCGCGCCGGCGCGAGTGGGAGTGAGTAGGGGGCGGCCGCGACCCCCGACCCCCCGGACCCCGGACCCCGGGCGGACCCTCGACAACCCACCCCGGGCGGACCCCCGACCCAGGACAGACCCCTGACCCCGGGTAGACCCCGCAGGCGCGCCGGCGCGAGTGGGAGTGAGTAGGGGGCGGCCGCGACCCCGACCCCGACCCCCGGACCCCCCGGACCCCGGGCGGACCCCCGACAACCCACCCCGGGCGGACCCCCCGACCCCGGGCAGACCCCGCAGGCGCGCCGGCGCGAGTGGGAGTGAGTAGGGGGCGGCCGCGACCCCCGACCCCGACCCCCCGGACCCCGGACCCCGGGCGGACCCTCGACAACCCACCCCGGGCGGACCCCCGACCCAGGACAGACCCCCGACCCCGGGTAGACCCCGCAGGCGCGCCGGCGCGAGTGGGAGTGAGTAGGGGGGCGGCCGCGACCCCGAGCCCGACCCCCCGGACCCCGGACCCCGGGCGGACCCCCGACAACCCACCCCGGGCGGACCCCCCGACCCCGGCCAGACCCCGCAGGCGCGCCGGCGCGAGTGGGAGTGAGTAGGGGGCGGCCGCGACCCCGACCCCGACCCCCGGACCCCCCGGACCCCGGGCGGACCCCCGACAACCGACCCCGGGCGGACCCCCACAACCCACCCCGGGCGGACCCCCGACCCCGGCCAGACCCCGCAGGCGCGCCGGCGCGAGTGGGAGTGAGTAGGGGGCGGCCGCGACCCCCGACCCCTGATCCCGACCCGCCAGACCCCGGGCAGACCCCACCCAGATCCCAACCCTTGACCCCGCACCCGTCCCCAGCACACCGCCTGCCGGCCCGTGGGTGGAGGGGGTCGTGGGTGCATCACTGCCCTCCCCAGGGAGACCTCTTGAAGCCCAGAGACCCCTCTCCCCTCCCCCACCCATCTGCTGTTCCCCCCATGGTTGAATTTCAGGAGAGTCTTCCATGGATGGAGTGGCCCGACCCGGGTTTCTCTCCCACCCCCCCACAGTGCCCGGGCGGGCTCGAACCCCGCAGTGTGGGAATCGGGGTCCCAGGGTCCCCACGGAGGGGGCATGGCCCTGCCTTAGGGCCCAGCGTCCAAGGATTGCATTCCTTGCCCCTCCCCCCACCCTGCCTCAGTGTCTCCATCACGATGGGAGACCGCCGGGTCTTGTCACAATAGGGGCGGGGTACCTGGGTTTTCCCATCACGATAAAGAGACCGCCGTGGTTTGTCACGATACAGGGGCGTTTCTGTCATGACAGGGGTGTGGTGTACAGGGTCATTGGGCTAGGGGGGACGTGGTGTTTCCATCATGATGGGTGGGGGGACTCAGTATTTGATACTTCTGTCATAATGGGGAGGAACGCAATTTTTTCGTCACCACGGGGGACGGTGTCACTCATAGAGGGACACTTGGGGTTTCTGTTGTGACAGAGGGTGTGGCATTTGTGTTACGATAGAGGGGGACTGGGTCGTCCCGTCACGGGGAATTCCAGCATGGAGTAGGCGTGTTTGTTATTATTTCTTAAAATTTTTATTAGTGAAACACCATGAGGTACAGTTGTAGACTGAAAAATTTTTGTGCTTGGGTTTCAATTATACAGTGATCAAACACCCATCCCTCCACCAGTGCCCATTTCCCACCACCACGGGTCCCAGTATCCCTCCCACCCCCCATACCCCGATCCCACCCTGCCTCTGTGGCAGGACATTCCCTTTTGTTCTCTCTCCTTTTGGGTGCTGTGGTTTGCAAAAGAGGCAATGGGTGGCAATCATGTTTGGTCTATAGGCGTGTTTTTTTGCTTTTTGGGTCCCACCCGGCGATGCTCAGGGCTGACTCCCAGCTCTGCACTCAGGAATCACTCCTGGCGGTTGCTCGGGGGACCCTAGGGGATGCCGGGGATTGAACCGGGTTGGCTGTGTGCAAGGCGGACGCCCTCTCCGCTGTGCTATATCTCTCTCTGATTCCAGCAAATAAATATTTTATTTCTGTGCTTTGGGTCACACCTGGTGATGCTCAGGGCTGACTCCTGGCTCTGCACTCAGGGATCATTCCTGGCGGTGCTTGGGGGACCCTATGGGATGCCGGGGATCGAACCCGGGTCGCCCGCGTGCCAGGCCAACGCCGTCCCCACTGTGCTATCGCTCCGGCCCCGGAATAGGCGTTTTCAGCACAGAACCACCCCACCCCCATTTTTATATCTGTGGTCCCACTAGGCTGGCCCTGAGATATGCCTACCCCCCCCAACCCCTGTGATGTCACTGACCCTTGCTACCGGAGAGCGTAAAAGGCAGTGACCTGGGACTTGGGCACCTCCCTGGCCTGAGTCGGGGGGTCCTGGCCTGGCGCCCGCGATGGGGGCGGGCAGGAACCTTACCAGAGGGTGTCGGGGATTTGGGCCACCTCCCCTGAGCCTGTCCCCAGGCTGGCCGTGAACCCCAGAGCCTGCCGCAGGCAGCCAGGACTCACCCATGTCCATGCCGGGGACCAAGCCGGTCACCAGAGCGGAAGGTGCCAACACAAAGCTCCAGGCCCCGTCCAAACCCAGCCGGACCCCCACCCAGCCCTGTCTTTGGGCCCCCCAACCCGCCCGCCAACCCCTCACTTCCCTGCGGGGAATTGGGGTCCTGGCACCCAGGCCTGCCCGGCCTCTTCTGTCCTTTCTCTGGCTCGGTGCCCACTGCTGCCCTGCAGCGCTGTGTGGGGGCCGAGTGTTGGGGTCTCTGTTCAGGGGGATGGACCCCCCCTGCTCCCCAAGGGGTCTGGGGTCCACTCTGCCTCTGGGTGCCGCCCCCCGCCCCCCAGAGCAGGCGTTGGAGTAGGGGGCGCAGTGAGCCCACCCCTCACCGGACCTGGCCGGTTCGGGTGTTTCTAGGCGTTTGCACCCCCAAATTTTCGCCCCCCTGCGACCCCTTTGAGGAAAACGGGGCTCACAGCGCCCCCTGGTGTCCGTGCCCGTTGGTCGCGGCCCCACGGGCTCTCCAGAGCGTTTTCTCCTGTTTCGCGGCTCCCCCCGGCGGCCGCCGCCCGGTACTGCAGCCGCGGCCTCTGTCTCGGAAGGGGGCTCCCGGGGGTCCCCAGCGCCCCAAGATGCCCTGGTCACGGCTGTGCATCCTTCCTATGAATGAAGAGAAGGAACGGACAGTGCTGTGAGCCCACGGCACTCACACACACTCACACACACATGCATACACACACACATGCATACACACACATACTCACATACACACCACATATACGTACTCACACATACTCATATGCACACATACAGTCATGCACCCACAAGCACACGCTCACACATACTTATGCACACTCACACTCTCATGCACACACACACTCTCATGCACACACATGCATTACACTCACAGTCACACAGTTGACTCGCAGACCTGTGCACACAGTCATGTGCGCATTCCCAGACACACTCGTTCACACACATTCATGCACACACACTGAGGCACACACACTCATGCACACATTCTCAGACTCTGACCCACGCCCTCACACACACTCTTACACTCACACACTCAGGCACGCAGAGTCTCAGACACTCATTCACACTCACATACACATGTGCTCATGCAGACACACACGCACACATGCACACACACTCGTGTACCACTCACACACACTCACATGTTCCCCTATGCACTCGTGTACATAAAAGCACGCACACACTCACCTGCATTCGTCCGCACGAATAGACACAGTTCCATATGCGCTCGCACACACAGACACAGTTCCATATGCGCTCGCACACACGCACCAAAACTTACACACTCGTGCGCATTCTCGACATATACCATACGTACACTCATGCACATTTATACACACACACTCATAGATACACACGTACTCACACTCATACGCTCAAACATACACTGATAAGTTCTGCACACAGACAGACACATAATCCTACATTTATAACACACATACACTGACATGCACTCATATACATACACCCTCCCCCTCTCACATACCACCCCCCTAAAAAAAGGGCACTACACACACTCACACACCCACCCACATACACTCACACTCACCCGCACACACACACACTCACACACCCGCACACCCGCTTAACGCTCACACCCCAGCAGAGCCGTCAGCACAAGCCCTTTGCTTCTTGGCCGGAGCAGAGGGAGGCACGGAAGCCCCCCACGTCTCCGGGGGTGCCCACCCGAGCTGCCACCCGTCCCCGCGGGCTGTCGGGGCCTCCGTGGCAGGTGGGCTCTGCCAGGCGGCTTCCGGGGTTCCCTCCGGCGCGGGCCCATGAATTAGTGATGGGCCAGCAGGGGCCGGAGCCCAGAGCCGCTAATTGGCCCCAGGAGCGGATGAGCCTGCTGACAGCCGGGCTCTGACCCCGGGGTGCCGAGGGCCGGCGTGTGGCATCCGGCAGGGGGGCACCCCGGTGCCTTCCTGAGCCTGCAGGGCCCGGTGTCTGTGGGGGCCTTGGGGAACCGTGTGTGGGGAGAAGTGGGCAGGGCCTGGCACGCGCCGACCCGGGTTAACCCGGCCCCCCACAGGGCCCCCAGCCCTGCCCGCGGTGACCCTGAGTGCAGAGCCCAGACCCAGCCCCGAGCCCGGCCCCCCTCAACCACCCCTCCCCCAAACAAAGAGAAGTGGGCGGGGCGGGCCGGGCCGAGGGGCGGGACCGGCCGTGCGGGGTGGGCGGGGCTGACGCTGCCACCCGGCCTGGCCCTGGACCTCTCTGTGCCCGCTGCATCCTGGGGTGCCCGCGACCCCCGCCCCGGGCGGCGGCGGCGTGAGGAGAGATGGCTCAGGACTCAGCCTGGGGAGGGGCTGGGCCTCTCTGTCCCACCCCCTGAGTTTGTCTCCCTCAGGGGCCAGTGCTCAGGGGGTGGTGCTCAGGGGCCAGTGCTCGGGGGCCAGTGCTCAGGGGCCAGTGCTTGGGGGTGGTGCTCGAGGATGGTACTCAGGGGACAGTCCTCGGGGATGGTGCTTAGGGGCCAGTTCTCAGGGATGGTGCTCAGGGTCCAGTGCTCAGTGGATGGTGCTTGGGGACCACTGCTCGGGGATGGTGCTCGAGGGCCAGTGCTCAGGGATGGTGCTCAGGGGACAGTCCTCAAGGATGGTGCTCAAGGGCCAGTCTCAACGGATAGTGCTCAGGGGCCAGTGCTCAGGGATGGTGCTCAGAGGACAGTGCTCGGGGATGGTGCTCAGGGTCAGTGCTCGAAGCAGCTGGCTCATTGGTGTTTCCGCTCTTGCAGTTTGGATGAAGCAGCCCAGAGCTCAGCTCACAGCCCCGTGTGGTTCCTCCTGGGCTTCTCCCAGCGTTGTAGGTTTGTCAGAGCCGTCCCACACGCAGCCACGCTGGGTCCCATCTCAGGCACCACCGAGGGGGTCCCCACTCCACGGTCCCCCTCGTGAGCCACCAACCCGGTTGTCTGAGAATGGCCAGGAGGGGTCTCCAGGTCTCCTGAGCACCAGTCGCGAGCCCCCCTGGCATCTCACCCCAGCATTCTCCTTTACGTGGCTGCCTGGTCTTGTTCATTTGTTCCTGGGTTCCACCCGGCGACGCTCAGGGCTGACTCCTGGCTCTGTGCTCGGGAATCACTCCTGGTGGTGCTCGGGGGGCCCTATGGGATGCCGGGGATCGAACCTGGGTCGGCCGCATGCCAGGAAAACGCCCTCCCCACTGTATTATCCCTTGCCCGGAGTGATCCCTGAGCACAGAGCCAGGAGTAAGC